AAGATCAGGGTTGAGCTTCACTTTGGTTGGGATGTTATCCAACCAAAAAAATGTCTTCTAAGTCTGTGTTGTATTCCAGAAAAGCTTTAGGTGTCAGTTAGGCAATTAGCATTAGCATTAGCATCTCCTAACCCACAGGTCTGTGTCCTAACCATTAAGTTGTTATCAGAGTAAATCCCTGTTCAACATGAGCCTGACAACTAAGTAAGCAGATAAATAACTTTAAACTTTAAAACATGCTCTGATAGGCCGGGATTGGATTGGAAGTGCAAAAAGCTGGATCAGGAAATCCCAAGTGTCAGTGGTATTTCTTGGTGGAAGAAGGCGTGCTTCACCTTTTCTGTGGAACACAGCATTGAGGAAGTCTTGGGCCTGTCTCTCCAGCCGGCTGATCCGAGACTGATCCTGTTTGAGGTCCTCAAACTCTGACAGCACTTGGCTGCTTCCACTGGTTGCCAAGCTGTGCTCCTGCGAGAACACACACACACAAACACACAAACACACACACATATGCAGACAGGTGAGTGACAGAGATCTATTGTGTAGAAGTTGTGTGTTATAACCCCCACAGAGGCTTTGGATAATCCATCCATCCATCCATCCATCCATTCATCCATCGTATATTCCTTCATCCATCCATCCATCCATCCATCCATCCATCCATCCTATATTCATCCATCCATCCATTCATCCATCGTATATTCCTTCATCCATCCATCCATCCATCCATCCATCCATCCTATATTCATCCATCCATCCTATATTCATCCATCCATCTATCCAACCATCCATCCTCTATCTATCTGTCCATCCCTCCACACATCCATCCATCCTATATTCATCCGTCCATCCATCCTATATTCATCCATCCATCCATCCATCCATCCATCCATCCATCCATCCATCCATACATCCTATATTCATCCATCCATCCATCCTATATACATCCATTCTATATTCCTTCATCATCCATCCGTTCATCCATCCATCCTATTTTCATCCATCCATCCTATATTCATCCATCCATCCATCTTATATTCATCCATCCATCCATCCACACACACATCCACCCATCCATCCATTCAT